TATGAGGTAGCGCGCATAAGATGGTTCTCCTATTAAAGGTGCAGGATTGCTGCTTTCTGATCAATTTTAATTAGCAACCTTCCCTACTGATTTGTTAGGATAAGAAATCTAACCACAAATTAGGTCTGCACCAGCTGCGCATCACTCATATTGCATTATATCGTTACCTTTACATCAGATTAGAGCTAATCTATCTCACTCATGTTCACATACCCTTCAATGTGTTGCGAACGTGATTGTTTATATGCCATAACTGGATGTTGCTTTTCAGCAAAGCGGTGAACCCAATACCCGAGTGTCCCCACATGGTGTTGATAAATCATAATCATAGATAGTTACAGACGTCCCCTCCGGTCTTTCAATGAAAGTCCTTTTATGATCGCCTAATACGTGTACACAATTTATGTTGAGGTTGTTCGTTGTTTTCCTGAATTTCCAAAAGTTTTACTATTATCGTTGTATTCTATGTCTACGATAGTCTACTTCCATCTTTGTAGAATTTCAAGCAGTGATTTGCGTTTATGGGTCATACTAGAGTTTATGAAACGTCTCATTGTAAATATGATATGTCTACTAGTAAATTTGCATTAAATCCCTATATTTTTATTTCTACAACTATGAAGAAAATGGTTGATGAACAAAAAATGAATACATTTTAAGCGTGTTAAATAACCTTGTTGAGTTGACAATTACAGATGCAGACTTTTTGTCCTGCTTTCCATCATTTTTCTAAATCGTAGTCTAGGCAATCAACCTCATGTCAAATAATGGCTTTCTGTCATCTCTAACTTATAGTTGCGAGAACTCTGTTACAATATAAATTGTAACCAGGAATGTTCGAAAACCAGCGCGTGCATCAACTAGTAATTTGTAATGCAGACTTTTGAAAGAAAGTTTGGCGAAGATCGATCAACGTTCACGTTCTCAAAAACCTAGAATGCTTTGTCTTTCCTAGAGAAAAAACTCAAGTCAAGCTTTCCTCTTTCATAATAATCATTATAATTTTTATAAAGCCAGAGGAGATTTTGAATCGTAAAAATTGTGGTTAATCTTATTAGCACGACATTTCTGGTTATCTAAGTACGATTGAAGGTGATTTTGATGTTCCAGCATAAGTTAAGGCAACATCTGGTTTGCAGCGTGAAGCATCTTTCAAGCTGCAAAGGCCAATATAGGATTTTTCCCAAAAAATATACCATGCATGCGCCGATTCTTTCAATTTTGCATTGACCCATAACATTTGTACAAAAAAACTGTGTAGGTTCTCCGGTTTTTCGCAACATCTCGAAGAAAACCTTGAAAGAAATTACTCCGTAGGATTTATGGAAACAGACTTTACAAATCAACATGGTGAAGTATTCTTCAACTGGAAATGCAAAGGAGGAAAAATGTTTATAGGGACAAAATTTACTTGAGCTTTTGACTGTACCTGTATTTTTGTAACTTTCAGACTTGTTTAAAATTTGTTCCTTAGGATCTTGGTAGAAACAAATCCTTCAAATGGGATGAAAGTTAAAAAGGTATATAGTCTAGGCGGGAAAACACATGAACTTTGTAATCAAACCCATAAGGTGTTTTTGATTAAAAATAATATCTGATATCGAAACAAGACTGAATTGCACAAATGTTGAAGTTTTTCATAATAATTTGAAAGTAATGTAAATGGTAGAGGAAGTGCTCCCTACCGTGCAAACAGTAAGACAAAACAGCTAATGTTTCTCCTGACTCTAAAATAACGAATGACAATACCTGAAGTGGTATAACACTAAAGGTGCGAACAGACAGCTGTCGTCTACGGGCGTCTGCGTTTTGCCTCATCAAGCTGTTCATCATCTAAATGGATAACTTTTTTCAGATGACAATTACGACGTTGCGGTTTTATCACTTGGTCCTTGCTTTCAACTACCAGGTCTCGGTTCTTCGCTAATGTCTAATTCCAAAATTAGTCTACTCTACTAACTTCTCGAACGTGCGATAAGAAGAGCGCGGATCTTTGGGTGAAGCAGTAACATCAAACTCCGCACTCTAAATGAAAGGAGAGGTGGACGGAGGAGATGGGGAGGGAAGAGAGGGGATATGTCATTCAAACAGGTCGATTTGGGAGGACATTGCGAAGATTGGGGCAACGGTGGCCAATATGATAGCAAAACTCAAATCGTTATCACATGTCAAGAGGCCCAGGCTTTCTGAGACGCTCCTGACTGTTGTAATGTCTTTCCTTGGAATTGCGACATCAAGGAATATTTGATATAACCTATTGGGAAAAATTTCTACCAGGGTTGCGAAAATGAGAATGTTTGTACCGCGATTTCTACGGCGCCTATTGGTATCCTTTTGTCCATACTGTACCTGAGAACGCCTTTTATAACATGCACACCCAAATTTCACAACTCAAGAATGATTTTAACGCCTACGACTCGGTAGTCAATGGACAGAACTGTTGAAAACATTTGTATAAAAGATCTTACTATTTTCTTTATATACAAAAATTATTTGGGGTTTTACTCTATGCAGCATCTCACTTATCTCCAGCCAAAAATGTACAACAGTACATACTATAGGTTAGTGTATATCCTCGCGATTGAAGACATCCATAGCAAAGCGATTTCGGGTGCAAGAAAAAAAACCTTGATAGAAACCATATTATATTCCAAAATACTCTAAACCATTATTTCATAATTCTTTTTGTAAATATAGCTTTTTAGATCATAAGTTTACTTCTAGAATGATACTACAACTTACATATTAAACGTG